ACAGCTTTCCAGTATGGAGAGCACTCAAAGGACAAGGAGAATGAAAGGTCTTAGGTTAGCTCCAGGACACCCTCATTACTGAGAAATAACTTACTCATAACTTGTTCTTTGGTTTGAGCTATAAAATGCCACAAAGCGGGGATTTCTCAGCAACAACTGACAATACAACACCCAAAGTCTCATATAATCTCCCTAACATTTCATAGTCTAAATTAATATCCTGGTGTCAGTGCACACAGAGAACGGAGTGAGTAAGGCTGGGTCACATGCATCACAGGACATGCACTACTGATCATCTCTCCACCAGGGAAGGATGACTGGACTGGTAATGATAAATGGATATCTAATGAGGAGTGAGATGACTGGGTGATTTTCTGAACCTCACTAGGTCCAATCTTCGTCTTTGTATGTCCAAATACATTGAAAAAATCTACCCAAAGTAGCAGGAGAGAGGAAGGATCTGCCAGCAATGCTTGACCATTTAGAGCTAACGGTATCCAAGAACTGTAAGATCTTGAACAAACATGGGCCAAGATACTAACACAGCCCAGGAGCAAGAACCGTTGTGGGGCCACTGAGACTGCAGAACCAGAGCAAAGTGGATGTGTTACTCTCCCAGCGCTGCCTGTCATCACATAAGGAAAATAAGTGTTGCAGTGGGGTACTACAGTTTGGCAAACAAATGCTGGTGATTTCATGCAGAGTTGTAGATCATCATTCTCTGAGAAAAGCGGTATTCCACCTAATACAGGATAACTATTTTGGGCCTCATTATGACTGATAATGAATTAATTCCTTTGACTGGAAGTTGGTGGTTGCTTAGTGACCACGAAGCATGACCTGATTATATTTAGCATAAGAAAAGGGAAGATAGCTTCAACCAGTCTTACGTACATGCAACACTTAAGATTAATTTCTCAGCATTGAACTGAAGTTACATTATTTCCTCCATATCTACTTTCACGTGGGGAGAGAGAAATATGAATGAAAATGAGGAGTTTAAATAACGCAACTATAGTTAGATGTCTATTTGGACAAAAGTGACAAAACGAAGACAGCAACTGGAATTGCAGAGTATATTTACTTTGTAATTATGGAAAATAATTGAAGTCAATATGAAGTTACAATAATCTGAAAATTGATAAAGGGAGATAAAAACATGAAAGTAAAAAAGGCTAGCAGAATAGGAGAAACTTGAAAAAAACCATTTGGTTGCTTTGGAGATACAGAAATTATTCTAAAAGAAGCAGGAAGGGGCACTTGCATCACATCATGATGACAAAGTATAAACAGCTACTAATTGGCTGAAACAAACACTTTAAAACTTGCAGGCTAAGAAAACTCCCAAAAAACGATGGATCAGGAAAAATAAAAAGAAACTGACACGGGATTGAAAAAATGATGTACAGTTAATAATACATTATACTGTACAATATTTTTATGCGTATCCATTTTTATGGAAGATAGGTTATGTGGCACACACTTGAGTTTATTAACAGGAGTTACACATTTGAGTGACAACGCAGATGTGGATTTAAGACTTCAATCCTAAGGGGACAACCAAAAAGACAAGCCATGAGACAAGCACCGGCCCTCCAGAGAGGCACCGAGGTTCAGACGCAATCCTGCTTGCATTGTTTCCCACTGACCAGCTCTAGGTGTTCCTATTAAACATGCAGCCTTTCTGCATTGCCATCCCCAGGTGCTGTGGTGGGAACTAGACACATGGCTCAGGATCACTTGGGAGGTGAGCTGCCCCATTCACAGCTACTGCAGTAATTAATTCAAGGTTGCTAGTGGAGGCAGCCTAAGCATTTCTCAAAATCATTACCAGTAATAGTGCTTAACCAAGAACTCCCAAATCTGCCTGGAGCAGGTAGAGGCAAGGCTCTCCGGCTTTACCCGAGGAAACCCTCTGCTAAGGAAGAGGGTTAGGGCTGCCCTTGCCACTCTGAAGACATGGTTCCTGTGCGGGCAACAGCAGAGACTGCATTGACCAAGAGGTACCACAAAACACTGCTTGAAGCACATAGAGGGTCTGTCGTGACACTAACAAGTCCTTGCGATCCAAGCTCTCAGGTTCAACTAAGAAGAGCAAACCCTGTTCTTTCTCTGTGTGTCGTTCTTTGTCTACACACCCGTAATACATGAGAATTGGAAAAAAACAGAAACAATGGAACAGCCCAACTTCCACAGTATCCGCAAAGCATTTTCTGTTTGTAAAAGCATGTCCTCCCTCCCTGGGTTTGAAGCCTTCCAAGTCCGACTTTCTTTGAGCTCAGTGCTGGTGGCTGTGATAAAATAAGCAGCTCTCTCACTGCCTGCGCTGACTGAAGGGACTGAAACCCGAACACAGGAAACCTCAGCTAAGCCTGCACGACAAGGTCCTGCAGCCCAGTGGGGATCTGTAAAGACCAACAGCTGGCACTGACTGAGCCCAGCATTCACACCGTGCACTTTTGGGGCATTTTACTTCAAACTACATCCACCCTAGATCCATGGGCTGAATGCCTGTTATCATATGGAGCACATCAGGTGTGTTTTTGCACCACATCTTCTGGGTTATTTTCTCCTGAAAGAAATTAAGTTCACATCTTGCAGCCTTCCTGTGCAGCATGAGACAAAACACAGCAAGTGGGGACAAGCAGCTCCCGTTCATAAGTGCACTCTTGATCCAAACTGAAACACTGATGTATGCCCTAAAAGCCAAAGAGTACAGCTACATGCTATGGGGTGTCAGTGGAAGCTATTGCTAATCGTCTTCACAGAATCACAGAACTGTTGAGGTTGGAAGGGACCTCTGGAGATCATCTAGTCCAACCTCCCTGCTCAAGCAGGGTCCTCTAGAGCATATTGCCCAGGATCACATCCAGACGGCTTTTGAATATCTCCAGCGAAGGAGACTCCACCACCTCTCTGGGCAACCTGTTCCAATGCTCAGTCACCCTCACAGTCAAGAAGTTTTTTCTCAGGTTCAGATGGAACTTCCTGTGGTTCAGTTTCTGCCCATTGCCTCTTGTCCTGTTGCTGGGCACCACGGAGAAGAGGCTGGCCTCATCCTCTTGACACTCCCCCTTCAAATACTTGTACATGTTGATGAGATCGCCTCTCAATCTTCTCTTCTCCAGGCTGAACAGGCCCAGCTCTTGCAGTCTTTCTTCGGAGGAGAGGTGCTCCAGTCCCCTCATCATCTTGGTAGCCCTCCGCTACCTGGACTCTGTCCAGGAGTGCCATGTCTGTCTTGTACTGGGGAGCCCAGAACTGGACACAGTACTCCAGGTGAGGCCTCACCAAAGGTTCCCTTCCACAACCTCAAGAAAGCAAGTCTTCTCAGTATTTCTCATGGCTGGGGCCACTAATGCTTGTCTCACAGCCAGATAAGTGCAGCTTAACACTGGAAACTTGGAGAAGATTTCTCCAAGAACTACCATGGGCAATGTTGCATTATGCCACCCTTTTCTACCAGATTCTCAGTTTCAGTATTTCTTCCACTGTTTTGATAGTACTACCAAAGAAAAGGAAAAAACAACCGGGTTCTGCCACCTTCTTCACACCGAATAATGCCAATCTGCTTTCTTCGAGTCAGTCATTTGTACTACTCAGTTCTTAATAAACTTCAAAAAATAATTTCTCTTTCCTTGGAAAGTTCATTTGCTAGTTCCATTGACCCCAGGTGGATACCATCTGGACCTGCTGGTTTGTGTATGATTGGTTTTGCAACTGTTATCTGACCTATTTTATATAAACAGATATATCTAAACATGAACAATTTATTCTGACCTGACATGTTTTCATGCCCTTTCTCCTTACGCTTTTTCAATAAAAAAATTAAGCCTTTCAATCACAGATACAGATTCAATCATAGAATAATTTAGGTTGAAAGGGACCTTTGGAGGTCATCTAGTCCAAACCCCCTCTCAAAGCCAAGCCAATCTCTTTCACCTTGAATTAATGGGTTGGCTTTCTTGCAAGCACTGTTCATTAATGTAGTTATAAGGAATTTTTAGGCTTTTCCTGTGCCCTGAATTTTATATCTTCTCAAAAAATTTTCAGCAGCTGTTTATAATGATCAGTGATAGCTAGCTAAGAAAAAAAGTGATACAAGGATATCTTAAGTCCAGCTTTCTAGATTCATGGCCACTTCCAATAACCAAGCCCGTTACTTGCTGGCTGTTTCAAACTCCGGAAGTCTTTTTTCACTTGCTGTCCTGATAACTCCTGTGCCTTCTGTGGCAGTGCATATAGAGAACTAACTCTTCAACAGGGTAAATCACTTTGGCACTTACATTGCTCTAGAGAGCTCCAAACCAGTTAACTTCTCAGAAGAATTCAAGAAGGCGCAAGAGGTGGTATGACTTTACGCCTGACCCGAAGCTCAGTTTTGCATGGCATATAACACACAGCATGATAACATCTATAGTACAGAGGGACAGGATAGATGTTTCAAGGAAAGAGACTGAGCAGAGAATACAAAAATATCCCTCCGTAAGAAAGCAAGTACAACTAGAACAGATGCCACTCCACTTCTACTCATAGGAACATTAGTGTGGGGCAGCTCCATAACCATTAGCACAGCTAAAACAGAGGACATATCCCCTTCTGGCACCAAGCCCAATTAACAGCCTTAGCAGGAGAGGATCTCTAGTAAGAAATGGTATCAAGGATGCAAAGGAAGAGAAATAGACAGGGAATTTTAAAGAAGAGCTTTCCAGACTTATTCCAGGCTAATGGTTTGGCTAATTCTTTAGCATGGCCACCTCAGCTGTCATAAGCAAACACTGCACTGGAAAAACAAACTCGACACCGATGGCCTCAGGAGGAAAGCAGATCTGTACTGCCACTCCCAACATCCAAAACTAGCTGCAAGCTGCAGCTTCTCCTGATCACGATAGGCAGCACCAGGACACCACCAGTTAACATATTTATGTTCAAATTGCCCTAGACTCTAAAGTAAGATTAAAAAGGGGAAAAATGGAGGGAGAAAGAAAGGTAAAACTCACCAACATCGGACTCTTTGTGGGTTTTGATGATTTCAGCCAATTCAAAATTTCCTGCAATGATGGCCACCTGAAAAGAGAGGAAAGGAAGACAGTTGAGTGGTTCTGAACAGCACTAATCCTGCGCCTGCTTGCACAGATTATGCCATATGGACCAATAACAGCTGCTTTCCATGGGGGATGAAGAGCCAACAATTGTTCTGCCTCAGCTAACCCAGTCAGTAACCCCAAGGTGGAAGTATGCTGTCAGCACTGCAGGAAGAATGTATGTCAATGACTTGTGCAATGGGAGGGTGGTGAATAGCTCAGAGATAACCATTCCCATCCTCTTAAGAGTTTGATGATATTCCTAATACCAGCTAGGAATTAATTTCAGGTCTTCTAGGTACTGACAAGATGTTCTCAAGCCTGAAGTTTTGCAGTGAATCATAGCTGACGAAAGAAGGCAACTTACCAGCAACCGAGCTCTCTGCATGTCTTACCTGAATGGATCCACGGGATTAACTCATACACGCTCCAAGCTGTGCAGGCTGAGGAACCACTTCCATTCAGAAAGCTGCTGCAGCAGCTTGCCCCAGAAAAGTCACAGCATTTTAAATCAACGTTAGATATTGCTTTTCCCACCACCCATCCTGTAGTTTCTCTCCACATGAAGAATCTTAAAAAAAAATCTCAAAGGAACAAGGAAAGAGGGGAAGCAGAATGTGAAATCTGCCAAGGAAACACACAGAGAAAACTGTTGTGTCTGATTCCAGGAATTGCTTCTGCAGATGCTCACATCCTGGGAAATGGCAAAATGCTATCAGTCTTCAAGAAGGTCGGTTAACATACAAGTAAGAGGAGAGAGACTGAAGTACTACTCTCCTGAAGCAAGCGTTCAGTGGATAGATTAATGACAGTACTTGAACTCTTCGTTGATTTTTCACGTATTTGGAAAAAAAAAGCAGCATAGCATCATAGCTAGTAAGGCAGAACAATCCAATTTTTTCAGAACAAAGTCCAAAAATATTCTTTTAAAATGCCAAAGAACCACAGCAAGATGGATAGAGTACATGAAATCCATCATTAGTCCTCAGGAAATTAAACTGAGAGAACTATGCAGGACTGAACTGGTTGAGTCTGCACCTGCCCCTCCAAAACACAGCCATCTCTGCATTTACCCTACCATTCCCAGCAAACCCAGTCCATCCCAATCATTGTTTCCCTCCTTAGGGCCATGCCTTCACTCAGTAGCACCGACAAGTAGTTTGGGAATGAAAAGCAGCTGGATCAGGTTGATTCCAGGTAAAAACAAAGTGTTGTTGGTTAGAGACTGAAAATGTTTTTAAGAAGAGGCTGAGATACTGCTGCTGATTTTGCAAGGACACTGCGCGTGCCGTGACATGGCCATGATGCAGAATCGCTGTCTGGGAGCACTGGACAGCCTGGACGGGAATTCTTCCCACCCTCCCTGTGCCCAGCACTGCTATGTGACCACCTCACATCTTTATCTGGCCTTTCCCAGATGTTTTATAGAAATACTACACTAGGAACAAATTCCCTCCCTCAGTCCTTACACATCCTGCTTTCCCTTTGCATGTCCAACACCCCAGCTCAGATCATTAGAAGCCCTCAGCTAAAGTACAAGCACCTTAATTAACCCAAGAGTAGTGCAGCTGGTCCGTAACCGCCTGCCTCAGACCCGCTCCCATCTCCGACTCTACACACTCTCCGGCGGCAGATGTATGTCCCTTTTGTACATCTCCAAAATAACTCTCAGAGCTTTCCCGAAAGCCAAACACAAGTCACTAGAAGGGAGTTGAGATGCAGAGGGCATTTCTTTTTTGAAGATAAATCCAGTGTGTGTCACTGGTTATATCCAAATAAACTCCTTTGTTAACAACAAACGATGGCCACATTTGTCCATCCTAGGACTGTCACCCTCCCCCTCCTTTTTTTTTTTTTTTTTTTTAATTTAAACTTCAGGGTTTGGGCACTAATTGAACAACAGGAAATGCCACTTGAAGCCAAAAAGCACTTCTTGACTGTGAGGGTGACAGAGCACTGGAGCAGGTTGCCCAGAGAGGTAGTGGACTCTCCATCCTTGGAGATGTTCAAAATATGACTGGTCTCAGTCCTGGCCAGTCTGCTTTAGGTGACCCTGCTTGAGCAGGGGGGTTGGCTAGCTGATCCCCAGAGGTCCCTGCCAATCTCAACCGTTCTATGATTCTGTGATACTTGAGACAAACATATTCGATCAGGTAGTCAGTGGAAAACAAACTCTTCCAGACACTGACCAAGTCAACAGCAACACTGGCAACTCCAGCTGTCTGTTAAAACATTTTCCTGCCCTCCTACAAGAGCAGCTTTTAGAAATACGAGTTTCATTTGCATTTTACCACTAACTTGTGATGAAAGGATATATTTAACTTAGTGACTCAGTACACCACACACACCTCTCTACTACGATCCTTTATCAGCAGAAATAGTCTTACTATCCTCAGCTCAACAACGTTTATATGACTTTTTTCCTCTTCTGTGGCCTAGAAACCATGTTCTAACTCCTCAGTCAAAATTGGAAGAGATCAGCTCTGGAAGAAAGCAAATCTTCCTTTTCGCATTCTGAAAATTAGGCCACAGGAGCAGAGAAAAAAAAATCAAGTAATAATCACTATTCTCCCCCAAGCTTGCCTCAAATTGCAATCGCTTATTCTCTCGTTCTCTCTATATCATATATATATATACATATATATATATACATACACACACACACACACACACACTCATGTAAGGTCTACTCTTCCAAAGGTCACATTCTTTAAACGGGCTAGGAGGAAAATGTCTATACAGAAGGACAAATGAATTGAATTTTGGGAAAGTTTGACGGCAAAAATACCCAAACTGACAAAAGACTGGGAAGGAGTTTTTAGAAAAAGCATCTGAACTTCAGCCTTCCTCAAATGTACAATTTAACATATGGCCTACAGTCTGCGTGAAAAGCCAAATTCAACGTACAAATTATCAGTCTCATTAGATGTATGTATAGGGAATAATTCCTGAAATGTACAATTTTGTGGTGGATTTATTTGCCGCAACATAAGCGGTTAATGCCATCACACATACGCTGGGGTGTCCCGCCTAGCCCCCAGCTGCCGCTGCAGGAGGGGGAGATCTCCCGCAGGTCTCCGTTGCGTCTGCCAGCCCCAGAGGAACGTCTCGGGCACCAAGACAGCCGACACCAGACCCCCGCGTTCAGGCAACAGAAGCGCTCCCTTTCATAGCCGTGACAGTGTTATGACTTCCAGGAAAGGCGAGAAGAAACATGCTGAATAAGAAGTCTGCTAAGAATATAATCTCATGTAAATCCCTAGGAAGGGAGAAGAGCCCTGCTGGTTATATTTTTCAATCCAACTAGGAAAAAGCAAAGGAGATGAAAGGATTTCACTTATTGCATTGTACTCCACACCTCAGCTGGGGCTTCACCGCACACTGACTTCCCCTCCTGTGAAACCACTTGAGACGTTTCTGCGCCCGTCTGCTCATTCCTGCCCCAGCGCCAGTTTGCTCGATGCAATTGCACTGATGAAATGGTTTGAGAGACTGCACAACAGACCGCATCAGTGAACTGTTCCAAGTGAAAAAGTAATTCCTTCTGGGGGACAGGAAAACATGAAAAAGGAGTTTCATAGATGGAAACTGCTGAAAATAGATTTTTATTTGTTCATTTACATTTCAAAGCTAAAATTTATAGTGCTTGTAAAACAAAGTGGGAGGAATTGGTGATTACACCAGAAAAAATGTTCTGACTTCCCCATAGAAGATACACGATTTTATTTCAAACAAAAAGCGAGATGTCCTACATAGGAATGCCCTCTTAACATCATAGCCAAACTACTTATCCTATTGATACTCTGGAAATAATAGATACTATGCAAAGGGCATTTCTCACCATGTTTTGCCCTTATGCTACACATGTAGAAGAATTTGTCCTCCTGCATGCCACAAAATGAGCAATGAAAATCCATATTCAGATTGCACAAGACACAGCCATATTATGGCCACAGCACGTGATTATTTTCTTAAATGCTTTTACACCTTGACTCATTCCATAGCATGCTATCAAAGTGACTATGCTTTTTACTCTAACAGCAGTTTGTTTATTTTTACCTTTTTAGATAAATTCAGTGTTTTCTAAAAGAGAAAATAAAGAAGGAGGGGCATCTGAACAGGCTGTGCTGTATGTAGTATCAGTGTACTCATAAGGACTCGGAAGTTAAGAGCAGAAAATAGAAAGCTCATTCAAGTATTCTTGGGAAGAGTCACAGCTGTGAGATCTAAGCCAGACTCTGTGGATAACAGTACTGTGAAAACATCTCTGCACATTCGTCTATCTGCAGCAGGGCAGGTCTGCTGCACTGCTACTGCCTCTACACACTACAGTCCTCTAGCACATATCTGCACGTGCCCCACGATCGCTCTTACATGTGCCCTGCTGCTGCTCCACAACGCAGACAGGACACCCACTCTTCTGTTCCCCATTGCCCAGTTCAGGGGATACATCCACTCCTGATCCAAGAGCAAATGGATGCCTTGCGTGGCAGCAGCAAGAGGAACTGCAAGTCATGACTGTGACCAAAGCTAAGTTGTCCACAGGAGAGGTCAGAGGGATGAAACTGCTGCTTCTTCTGTGCACTAGGCACTTGCCTTCTCCAGCCAGAGGAGGACAAGGAAGAAACCTGTGTCCCCATGCCCTCTGTTCTGTAATATCCTCTACAGAGTGGCTTGTCTACAGAGAAAACTCAAAGGTGGTCAGGTAGGATATGCACACATCACAGCAGTTTCACGTATACCCACTATTCTGCATAAAACCAAGGGAAGATTCCCCAGCCTCTACAACCCTCTTCACGACAGGTTCGGTGTCATGGAACTAGGGTAATAAATGAGGATTTACCATGAACACCGTACCAGTATGCCAAGGTGTAACAGTACGGAGGGTCCATCTGCAAACTACTGACGCACTTCATGTCAGTGGGAATGGTCACATCTCAGCTATCTACAAACCCACCTCTTGCATCACACTGAGGGTGTCCA